GCGGAAGGCGTTGCTTTAGTAACAAATTAATGTCACGCTACCTTGTTGGTTATGTTGTGGTCAATATAGATGGACGAGGAGATTCCTATTTAAAGAATATATTGAGAAAAAAGACTGGTTTAGTAGAGTACGAGCTCAGGATTCCATTTTCTTTCTTGTAGGAAGGCTATAATGATTTTCCGGAAATAGATTTAAAGGAAGTTTTTCCCGGAGTACGGCCTGAAGGCAAACAGTCCAAGAGTAAATTGTTCCCGAAAGATCACACATTTGCCGTTATACTCAAGAGCATAGGTGTCTAGTGTTATTTATGTCACATATATAGTCAGTTAAACCTCTTTATACTGCTTTTGTTAAAGGCGATATTTCGACAAACGCTACCTGTCAGATTAAAATAGGGGTAAATTTTTCCCATGCCCCATAGGTTAGAAAGAGTGAAAACATGTTTATTTAGAACATGGGTGCTGCTCTAGAAGCTGTAATGTCACGGCGTGGTAAGAGTGGAGGACTACGCGAGATTGACAGAACAATATACAAAAACTCTTAGAGGTTTCACATACCTCGGTCAAAATCTTACCAAGCCCTTCAGGAGACATGGGGATTATTTTTTTCTTTTGCGTCCCTTCGCAATAATCTATAGATCAATTATGCGGCATAATTAAATACTGTAAGCCGCCACACTTTCTGCCTTAATACAAGGTTATGTGAAGTTTGTTCCATGTATATTTACATCTCCTTGGGAAATATTTGAGATTTTATATATTTTTCTTTAGGTACCACGTGACCTACGATATAAACAGAAACTTTCCGTAAGTAGAAAAAAATCAATAAAAATACATCCAAACTATTTGGATTAGTTCTGAGTTTATTATCGTGGGTAATAAGTCATCTGACGGTTTTGATTGTGTCTGTTGTGTTCGTAGTCTGAATGCTTTAAAGGGCTGATTTCAGTGGGGTCCCATTTTAGCCTTAACAGACATAAACATGAAGTAAATAAATCGATTTTCAATCAGTGTTTTGCACGAATCAGGTTGGTGCAGGGGCGGAGCGTCAGGGGGACTTCAGGGATCCAAGCCTTTAACACGTCTGATGAGAGCTGGACAAAGGGGGCCTGTTGAGTACGATGTTTATAGGATTATATGGCATGGTGCCATATGATAACGCAAAAGAAAAAGAAAATGCTCCCCATTACCCTTAGACGGCTCCGTAAAATCTGACTTTTGTTATGTACAAATGAAAAACTTTTACCTCCTATAATGTAACCTATGCATATATGCGACTGGTGAGCAAAATGAACTTGTAAAATGAAAAATATAGAAATAATAATAATAAAACCACAAAGTTTTGATTTAAAACAACAAAAACTATTTTTATCAGTTCGTGAGGAGGTTCCTTGTCCACACCCAAACAGTTTTATCCTGTTGAATATTGTTTTAGACTGTTTTGGCTATTACGTAAACTGACGTGTAATATTGTCTTTTCTCTTTGAAAAAGCATGGCTTCATGATGACCACCAGAGGGAGCTGTGTGAAGATGAGCCCTGAGCTTTGCCGTTCGAGAAAGGGATGAAAACCGTTAGACCGGAAGAAGTAGCTTTGTGCTGTTTGTTACGATATGCTAACGTGCCTAACGGTTTTCTACTGTCCTAAAGAAGAAGGTAAATGTATCTAGAACTTTATTTTTATTACAAAGTGACCTGTTGGTGTATTTCCGAGAAGCGTATGGGATTATATTACACCCAATAGGAAATTATAATGGGTGTGACGTTTGCAGATTTTCATAAAGAACTGTGGGGCTTGTTCTGTTTTAACATTGTGAGTTTCTGTTAAGTGATATTTGGTTATAGTTAAACAATAATCTGTTGTTATTTTACTGAATGTATGTTTATCTGACCTTACCGTAATGACATTTAGCGTGAATGGACAATTTTGAGTTTTAAGCAGAGTTTAATGAGTATTTTAAGATGTTTTATGACACTGAATTGACCATATTATAAGAAGTCTGTGATTTTATTTATTTTTCTTTTTTAGAGAAGCGTGCCTGCTTCAGTTGTTTATATTCTCAATTTTAAACTTGTAGTACAGGATTTTAAACATAACCTTGCGAGCGATTTATTTGATTTTCCTATCCAAGTAGCTGTCACTGTAAGATTTTTGTTTAACAAAAATTCACCATTCTGTAAAACTCCAAATTCATTTAACACTTTATTGGAGTGTTCAAGAAATAAACCCCTATTTATAACTTTGTGTCTGGTTCCCTCATTCTACCAGGCTACATTTTATTTTTGCCAAACCTACCTTTTGTATTTGTGGCCCGGACGTTTAAGCTTGGTGTCAGTCTTCCAGAACCAAATTGTATTCGATTTTAGCCTGGCAAGGACATTTTCTTTGGAATTAACAGATTCAGTTTCCAACTCATTTCTTAATCTAGACCTGTGGAGAATACAGAAGGTTGTGTTTTGTGACCACAAGACACAGAACCAGGAATCTGGTTCTGTGTCTTAGATTTAACATGTGGTCATTAGACCACATGTTAAATTGGAAGTAAAATGATCTAGGAGTGTGGACTCTCATGCAACCAGATTACTGCAACTTCTTTTAAATGTACCAGATTTGAAGTGAACTTGTTCCATTTTCCTGATTTATGCAAACCTAGTCATTACCAGTCACTATCAACTTTGTCATAACAGCACTAACAGTTCACTATGGAATACTTAGAGGAAAGGAAATGTCATAGCTGGATTTAGTGCACATCTGTTTCTGTTATTGAACATGAGTAATGTGCAATAACAGTACAGTAACAGTGCAGGTTACATGAGTAATAACAGTGTCCATTACTCATGGAACACCTTAGAGCAACCCATTCTGTCTGTCTGTCTGTCTGTCTGTCTGTCTGTCTGTCTGTCTGTCTGTCTGTCTGTCTGTTGCAAGGAATGTCTTCAACAGGCAGAAGAAAAACATATTTATGGGCTGAAAAGGTTTGTTAGTGGAGCAATGCTGACAGCACTGTCAATCAGAAAATCCAAGTTCATTGTCTTTCCCAGTCCAGTACTTTCCAAACTTACTTTTGTTTTCAGTTGTAATTCACTTCGTTCGTTAGTTACTTCTTGGTTAGTTTTTGTTTTCTATCATTACAACATGACTTGTAATGTCTAAACAATGTTTTTTTAGTAAGGATTACTCTAAGAACGCTTCATGAACAAGTTGTGAACTGCTCTGTGGTTTTCCCAGAGATGATTAAAACGTATTTTATTTATCAAAGTTGTCTGAGACAGAAAATAAACCCTGGAAAATTGTAAAGGCTGCATCTATCATGTCTTAAAAGGTAAAAAAAAGTGGGAAAAGGATTTTGTTCATCTTTCAAGTGGATACATTATGGGAAACCAACTCTTTAGAGGTTTATTTTTTTTATTGAAAAAAATAAAATGTTTGTATTGAAAATATTTTTTCAATTTATTTGATGTGTAATACTTTTGTGAGAAACAGTATTTTGGATTTTCATTATTTCCAAGTTAAAGAAACACTTCAAATGGATCACTCTGTATTTCATTATTCAAATTGAATCAGTGAAATAAATGAGCTTGTCAATAACAGTGTACTCAGACACACCAACATTTGGAAATTAGTATTGTCTCAGGCAAATGTAAATAAGATTATCTTTTAGGATTTCACTGGCATCTCAATCAACTGAACACATAAGATTTGTGGGTAAAGGTTTATAATCATAAAATAATTTCTTTGAACTAAATCTCTTGTGCAAGACCAGCATTTTCAAAACTTTGTTGTTTTTAGCTTCTTGATTTCACCTCATTCCTTCCAGTACACAAAATTAAACATGCTAATTATTTGAAACTGGCAAACTGATGTCCTCTAAGTAGTAATAATGATAATAATAAAAAATAAAACAAGGGACAAACAGTCATCTTAGTGACAGCGCTACCTATTTCTGTCCAAGCATTGTGTAAGCACTCACTGACAAAACAAGCAGGATCTCATTTAATTACTACAGGTGCACCTGATGTATTGCATTAGACATTCCATCTTACAATTTGCTCGCCCCCTTATCTGCTACGGGTGACTAAAGAACAAAAACAATGCTAATACCGGCTGACAATTTTGGAGGCATATATCACAGGATCTGTTTATGGTGCAAGGTTGTATCTCAGGCTCCAATTAAGCATGCCAAAATGAGTTGCAGCACGGACCACAGCGGCCCCGGCTCAAAGTTATGGATGAGCAGTCACTCCAGCAATGCCTGACCCGGAGTGCTAATTAGATGTGACATAAAATAGCGGGAGCGAACGAGAGACTTGTAAAGAAATTAAAATGGCTTTTGTCTGAGAATCCGCCAGTACAACAAACACGAAGAGACTAATTGGAGATATAAAGGTAGGCAGGCTTTGCACATACACACTTGATGGCACAAATAAACACTCAGCAGAGGAGATTACATTTATCCATGCCACCATCATTGTTTTAGTAACAGAAAACATGCAGGAATAAATGCATACCAAAAATACAACTTAGTGATGGTTTTTGATATGGGTCAAATAGGCAATTGCCCAGGGTGCCATCAGGAAGAAGAGGACACAAGAATCAGATAAAAAATATATATAAATATATGACATCAGTTGTGTCCTGAACAGATGTTCTATTGTTTTATGCAAGTCCTGTCAATGAGTTGGAGCCCACTGTTTAATGCACAAAGCAGTGTCATTCTGCTTTGTGCAGAATGACACTGCATTTTAATCAAGCCCCAGAATCTCAGATGACTTCCTGCATTTTGATTACATGGGACACAGCAGAAGAAAATGCTTTATTTCTTTCATTTTTAGTCAATATATATAGTTATAATTTAAAAAATATAGATATATATCACAGTCTACTTTTTTTCATAAACCTTTTGATACTTAGCAAACATTAAGTATTTGCCTCAATTGTAAAACCATAAGATGTAGTCAAAGTGTGGGCAGGAATAAACACAATCCAACTCTCTTCAGAAAGCAGCATTCAAAATCTTATTTTAATTTGTATATTTACTCCATAAACATTATTACAAAACTCAGCAAGTTACCAATATTACATTATCACCATACAGGCTTGATCACAAATATTTAAAACCTTTGCAACAGTTACAACAAAACAAAAAAAAACAAAAATAATACTCAAATAATTTACATGAAAATCTATAAAACAGCAAATTGTTCACAAATTATATTTTTTTCCCCAAGTTTTCATGTTTTTTTTTTCTTTGCTTATTTGTGTTTTGCACAGTAACACAACACTCTCACAACAAGATCATGGTCTTATTACAAAACTCCCAACAAAATGTAGATATTTCTAGTTTTTCTGTTGATACTTTCATATTTTGGTTTTCAAAACCAGAAACGTGTCGCTGTATATCCTTTCCACTGCCCACAGAGGCGCATAAAAGGTTACTCACACACACAAATACTTCACAGCACTTTCTAAGAAAAATATACACTTACAAAATATGTTACAAATTGGCACACAAAAAATATACAAGATTTTGTAGTGTCAAGAGTTCATTAAGATTCCTTCTGGTAACAACTCTAGACAGTATATATAAAGCTCGGTAATCTTTTAATGAAAAGAGCAAAAGTAATTCCAATCAGTGTCAAAGAATCATGAAGTGAATACATCAAACATAACATAACATTGTAATATACATTCATAAACAGGGTTAGGTACCTAATCTGTTTTGCATTTCTTTTTTTTTCTTTTTTTTGATAACTCTGGGGGAAAAAAAGTCAAACCCAAACATTAAAGAAATTAATTTTCTGCTTTCTTAGCACCATTAACATGAGGCAGCTCAACAGTGGCACATTTTAGAAATAATAATAAAAGGAAAAAAAAGAAGTAATTTTTTTTTCAAAATAAAAATTTCAATGAACTCAGAGAAATACATTCAATTTGACAATAGGCAGAAATGAGAGAAGGCAGACTAAATGGGCCTTTGACCCATGTGGAGCTTCCCATCAGCAGCTTGTCTTGGTCCTAACCCTGATACACTATAGAAAATAAACAAAGGATCATGATGGAGAAAAAGAGACACAAAAAGATTGGTTATGATCCTTGCCATATGCAAGCAATCAATTTCTAAGACCTGTGTCAGAATTGCCATATTCAATGTGACAAAGCCTGTTTTTAAAATCAGTCAATCAGTTTGCCCGTACATTTCCATGCAGTCTCATGTAATTACTTCAGTGTTCAAAATAATATTGTTCAAAACAGAGAAAACGTATAGGCTTCAGTAGATCTGTGTAAAAGATAGTCTACTACAGTTTGATTGGCTCTGAACTCATCCTGAAGCTGATTTATTGAATAAAATCAGATTTTATTACTTATTAAATATGATTGTTAGGCCTATTTTAAGGTTGATTTCTATACTTTTTTGGTGCTCCGAGGTAGTGAATGAGCCCAAAGTAGATGACAGTAATGAGGTGTGCGTACACAGCAGAAATTATGACTTAAGTATGTCCTGAACATGTTACAGGGGGCAGCATTCCTCTTCTGCATCTGTGCATGACGTTTAGGCAGAATGTGTGCAAAACCAGAACTTCATCTAAGTAGAATGCAGCTTTCTTAACAGACTTTTAATTTTTCTGCACAGTTAGGTCAAAATGTCTGCTGTGAAATAAGTTAATGAAATTATTTCTTGCCATTGATGGTCATGCATTACTGGTTAGTAAAGTAGGCATGGGCCGGTTGCTGATTTGGTATGGTATAGTAAGGTATTTAAATGCTGTGATATTAGAAACTGCTGAAACATTTTCTGTCATACTACAGTGAAAAAGTCTTATTAATGAGGTGATACAGAAAGTGCCAGAGAAACAGGAGTGTTATTCAAATGTAGTAATACAGAGCTGCTGCCCCTTCCCCATCCATTGCTGCGCATTGGCGTTAGCTAGCTGAAAGGCTACAACACCTTTTCACAGCTTACAAGAAAGACAGATTTGGCAGTTTAATAAATAGCCTTGTGCAAAACACAGTGTGAAACTAAGAGTGTCACCTGTCACTATTATGAACTGAATATTTTATTATTTTTTTTAAAGTGAGGATCTGCAAAGTTATTATCAGTGATAGTGCCCTTACTAGTGTAAGATACTGTTTGTATCAGAGTTAGAAAGAAAATTTTCAGACCAGAGGTCAGATAAGAGCTACTCAGGGACCCTAACCATGTCATTAGCAATTTCAGACAACTCAGTCTGAAAATGTTTGAAATTTGTGGGACAAGATGGCAAATGAGGCAACAACACAACCAAGTTATTTTCTGCTGGGTATGCCTGATCTTCTGATATCACAGCAGTATTTTCTAAACACCTGGAGAAGCACAATATGATATAATCTACGACCCTGTTGACAAAATCCAGAAGTTTAGGCCACTCTCTGTGAACTTAAAGCATAGTTGCAGCTGATCAAGGCTAATCGACAAAGTAATCAGACTAAACAATTGTTATTTTTGAAAAGAAATTGTTCAAGTGGGAAACAGAGACAAACTTAACATGTAATATTTAATAATACAGTGGTTTATCCCAAAGATGTTAATATTCGTAATTCTAAAGTCCACTAAAACTGGGAGTTCCTCCTACAGTTGTTAGCCCTTCATCACTCTAGATTTCTTTGATTTGTTACAAACTCTCTGTGATGTGGCATCTGTCTGATATAGATAATTATTGCCAATAACAACTTCACAGAATCATAAGCTTATAAAAATTTTATTATACATTTAAAGTAACCCTGCTTGAAAACTCAATTTGGCAGACTCCAATCAGCCTCTCTGTAGCTAGCTACATGAGTGGATAGTCTGTTTATTTTACCAACTATTATCAGCTTGTTATAATTGTGTTAGTTTATAAGGAGTAAAACAACAAAAGAGTTTAATATTGTTCTAATAACCATGTAGAAACTACAAATACATTTCTTGGGTATTTATATGTCCTCTGAATATTAAAACCAAAATTAAAATAACTTTTCATTTTATATTATATTACTGAAATTTAGCAGCAATGATGACTGTTTTTCTTTTGTTTTAAAGAAATGAAATGAAATTATGCTATACGTTTTCTTTTTAAGTTTTTGTGTATATCCCGTGATACAATATAACAGTTGTATTTCTAAACAGGATTATCATTCTCTGAGAATCTCATACCGGCCCATGTCTACTGGTCACAATATGTTTTTTCATGGACTGCAGTTACAGGTAAACCTTTTAAAAACCAAAACATGTCATTGTAAACAAAGAAAGAAGTGAAAGTTTTGACAAGATAAGATAAACCAGATGATATGCAACACCAGAAGTGCAACTTATAAAGTAAGGCAATGTTAAGAAATAAACTGTATGGGAATGTGAAGAAAAGTTTCTGTTTAAATTACCTTCCCAAGCAAGAAAGAAATGAAAGTGTCTGAGGAGTGAATGCAAAGACATGCTTTCCTTCATTTACAAGACCACTGATACCATTTGTACTGAAAACTGCTTTCACATTCACAATAAACCGAACTGCAAAAATGTCCATTCATGGCTGATGCATGCATCAGAATCTCTACAAATGATAATCTGACTTGAATTTCCAGTACAAACAGCTACTCAGCAAGGTGCAACCCCAAATAACAAGTCATTTTTCTGCTTACCCTCAAACATTTCCACTACATCTTGGTCCAGAGAGAGGTCATTTGAACCTCTCTTTTCACCCAGTCCTTTCTCTACTGTAGCCTTCAGAGCGGATCTCCCCTTTGTTTCTCTTTTGTTGCTTCTTCATGCCAGGCGATGTTGAGGTAAATTGAATTTGGCAAACAAAGTTGGGGGGGTGGGAAACGAGGAGAATTCAGAGTCTTTCTGATTTGGTTTCGTGAGTGGCGGTGTACCACTGCCAGCTGTTGGTGCCTTTCATCAGAGAAGAGAGAAAAAGTCTCAAATAAAGAATTCCTGTAGTTGCAAGTCTCTGTAAGGAGTCTCCAACCTAAGCAGCCAATATTCCAATGGATAGAAAAGAGGAACAGCCAATATTCACACATATATAAGAGGTCATTTACACAGCATTGTTACTTTTGGCACATCGATTTTAAGATTATAATCATCTTTTTTTGCAAATATTGCATGTTCCTGTACAACAACATTGACAAAAATACTCTGAGGGTGGAGCTTTAATGAATTTGCAAGGCGTAGAAATGTAAATTTAGATAACCAGTTCTTCTCAACTCCAGAAGTAAACGAAACACTCAATAACAGAAAATGGGGAGTCATTCCAACTTTGAGGAGAGAAAGAAAAAAAAAAGACGTCTGATATGTCATCAATACAAAATGGTCCCATCTTTTGTGTTCAAGATGTCTCGCTCTTAAATAGGGCTCATAAACAGTAGGTTCCCCTCTTGAAATGAGCCAGGCAGTGTATGAAGGACAGCAACAACAGGACATCCATATTCTGCATACAAAAACAGATGAGGAAGGGGGTGGGGTGCGTAGATGTCACTCAATGCATTTGTGTATATAGCTACATCTTTAGGGGGAAAGCAAAATAAATCTATAATTCAAGGGAGATAGTTCTGCTTAGAAAATACAAAAACGAAGTTCCTCAAAAAGGCGACAGAACTGTTTTCAAGGCTTATTTTCTTTTTTTTCAGACAAAAGTAAAACAAAAACAACTATAAGAAGAACAAACAAAGCAAGAAACAACAAAAGCAAGAAAAAAATGCAGCCATGGTCGTTTCAAATCTCAATCAAGCTTGACACAATCACTCAATAGGTAGTTTGCAAAGTACAAGAAGTTTTTTCATGCAGATAATCATTTCCTCTTCAGGGGTGTTAAAAGGAAGTGGGAGTAGTCAGGGGAAACGAAGTACTCATGCAGCTCTGGCATAGCATCAGTGTAGGTATGTTTGGGAGGGAGGGTTGGGCAGGTAGTGGGGGGAGGAGTGAGAAGGAGGGAAACAACAGCAGCTGATAACAAAATATTACCTCAGTTTTTCAAAAGAAGTCATCAGTGCTATGTCCTTATTTGGGTCTCTCTCTGCTCGCTTTCCTTTCAGTGTCTCAATTCGAGGGAACTTTGCACTGGTCTTGTGGCGGTAGAGCTTTTTGTGTGCTGGCCCGGGATTAATAAAGCTGGGTTTGTCAAACATGTTGCAGCCCAGCGCGAGCTGAGGGAACAGAGGGTGGGCTGGGTTGAATTTGGCCTGGTTCTTTCCTCCCTTTCCACCTGCCTTCCTACCTCTGCCGGCCCCTGTTAGTACGGCTCCTTTCTTTTTCAGGTCAGCCTCTGTTCCTGCCAAAATTTTGAGAGTCTTTAGGTTGAGGCTGTTGGCCTCAGAGGGCATGCAGGCTTCAGACATGGGATTCCACAAAGGCTCGATGGAAGCCATCATGAACCGTTGGACTTCGGCCATGCCAGAAACAATGTTTGACAGAATATTAGAGGGTTCCTCAAATTCTCTCTGGTCATCCCCTAGGCTGTTACTCTCTGACCAGCCAGTGCCAGGCCAGTCCCCAGTGCTGTTACTGTCGCTTAGGCCGGTGCCACCAGCCTGATTCTTTGCTGCCTTGCCCTCTAACATGGCCTTTATCTTTTTGGTCGACCGAGAATTCTGTTTGGGAGTCTTGACCTTTTCGGACTTGGGAGCTCTAGGAGCCCGGCTTTTCTTTGGGCTTTGCCCTGTGGCTGTCTGCTTGCAGCTGCCTTTCCTCTTGGACTTTATGCTTTTTGCACCTGTCTGTTCCTCAAACTCTCCCAGCTCCTTTTTATCCAAGCTTCCAACATCCTGACTGTTGAAGTTGTGCAGGGGAAACTGGCCATCCTCCACTGTATATGCATTTGTTGTGTGCTCCTGTTGCTGTACAGGTTCACAGTTCCACTTCACCTCCCTATTGCAGTCTATAGTCATATCGGTAACATCCTGGTACTCTCCAACATTCCCTGCCATTTTCATTTCACGCCCCACCACTTGGGGGGACAGGTTGGGGGTCTCGGGAGGAGAAAGCTCTGACAGTGATGAGTGTCTGAACTTGTCAGGAGTGAAGTTGGAGATATCCAGCAGGTCTGAGGACTCCCTGAGCGGGGTAAGGGCATCCACACTTTGCTGAATCACCACTTTAGGGCTGCAATGAGCTAAGAAGCTGTCTCGGCCCTCCTCCTCACCCTCTCGTTCACAAGACTTGAGGCTGAGAGAGCTGTAATTGCTGGAGGAGGCTGACAGGGAGCCCACTGAGTCATAGCTGATGAGCCTACCATTGTCTGTGCACAGGGACCCTCTTTGGTATTGCACCTGGCCCTCTACACAGGCAGACTGACATGCTTGCAGATTTGCCCCAGGCTGAAGCCCCGCCTCAGTCAGGTAGCTCTTCTCATAAAGCAGCCTGTCAGCCTCGGGGCTCAGCTGGCTGTAGTCAGACACTCGCAAGCTGTCATTCAGGGGCACAGCAGCAGCTGGGAAGTTGTTGGGTAAGATCGGAGTCTCGGGGGTCTCAGGCCCAAAGCTCTGGCTGTGATTTGTACAGAGCTGTGGGTGCCACATCTGGGGAAAGCTGGGGCAGTTCTGAGGAGACTGCTGGAGCTCTGACTCAGAGGGGGGTGAGAGTACACAGCTCTGGGCAAGCTGCAGAGAGGAAAACTGCTTCTCCTCCAGGGACAGCCCCAGAGGATACTGCTGCCTGGAGGTCTGCTGGGGGAAATAAGAGATAGCTGCTCCACCAGAAGAATCTGTGGCATCTAACAGGGTCTGCAAGTAGCCCCCAGGGATGACAGGGACACTTGTCTCCACCTCTTCTGAGGAAGGTGCTTTGTCGGGAGAGCAGGTGGAGGAGACAAAAGGAAATTTCTCATCGGATGCATGAGCATTGGTGGTATTGTCAGAGAAATGGGGTTTGATTGTAGTTGAACTAACGGCTGCCTGTTCTAACCCAGCAGCAGGCTCCTCAATCTGTGCAGCACTGACACAGGCATCCGTTTCATTTGTCACACTCCTCCCCTCCTCTCCCTCTGCCTTTTTCATTTTCGTGCTCCTTAGCCTGGCTTCACTTTTGAATTTCCTTATCCTGACTTTTCCTCCCAGTCTCCTCGCTTCCCTCTCCTCCCTCTCCTGAGAGCGGCTCTTGGTTGTGATTGTGTGCGTTATGGAGCTTGAGTCTAATGTGACAGGGAGGCCTGTGGCTGTTATTATTCCTCCTGCCGTGGGGGTGGGGTCCTCTTTAGTGACACCTGCATGGCTCTGATCAGAGAGAGGGGAACCCTGTGTTGTTGCTGATTGCTCCACAGTTTGAATTCGTTGAACCTTAAGCCTGTTGGCAATCTTGTATTTTCTTTTGGGGTGACTGGAACTGAAAGGCCGATGGTGGCGTCCGTTTAGATGAAAACCATGTTGCTGCTTATCTCTGGCAACCAGCTTAAGCTGTTCCTGTCTCTGTCTTTGCTTCTCCTGCCAGAAATCTTTGAGAGGAGCCAGTATTTCATATTTGCTTACTGTGTCGGCATTTAGGCTTACTGTTCCATCGACAGGGTCCAGCTTGCCCAGTTTCACCGACATGAGTCTCTCTCCTTTGAACCTGTTGATGATGATGTACTTGATGACTACAGGCGGCTCTTTCCGACAGGATTTTCGCCGTTTCTTCGGGCACCAATCCACATCCTCCTCTTCTTTCTGACCTGTGGGACCTTTCTCCTTTTTCTCTGCGTTCTTTTCACTCTCAAGTGAGTCAACGTCATACAAGTAATCTTCACTGTATCGCACCTTTCTTTTGGAACGCAGGCCATAGTTGAGAGGGTTTGAGGGACTGAGAAATCTTTTTGAGTGACCCTTTTTAAACTTGCCCTCCTGCAGGGTGTCTGAGGAGGAGCCAGTACAGGAGCTGTCATCACTGAACTCTCCGGACTCCTCTGTGGAATTAAAGTCTATTAGGTAGCTCACTTTGGAGGCGGACATGGGGGAGCATTGAGAGCCATCGAGTGGGCTCCGACCACTGCTGTCCCCACCTCTCCCTTCCTGTGCCGCCTCCAGTATGAGCTCATCAGTTTTGGACTGGATCTCCTCAGTGCTCCTCTTCAATATTGGCGCTCCTTCCTCTTTCTTGGCACAGTTGGCCAGCACACTGGGGAAGAAGTTGAACTGAGTCTCCTCCTGGAGCACATTTGTTTTTTCCCTCATGTTGTCCTGGAAAGACTCATAGCGAATCTTAAGTGAGCAGACGTCACTGCTTAGTGTTGAATCGTCGTCTTCATCGTCAAATAAATTGTCGACATCCTCCTCAGAGAACAGGTTGACAGACAGTTCGTTCTTGGAGCAAAGATCCAGCAGTTCCATCTTGCTCTCGCTGATGAAGGACTCAAAGTAGCCCCAGTCCTGACCAGCATTAGCCAGAAGAACTTCTTCTCCACTAACTTTATCTAGTAGCAGGCCCTCATACAAGTTCTTAGCTGTAGTATCATCTTCAGTGTCGTCGCAGTCCACAGTAGATTTATTTTCCTCTGCTCTCTTGACTTCACTTGGGGCTTTGGGAAGAGGAAAGTTTAGTAGCTGGTCAGAGAGGAGCTGTTCCCCAAAGTGACTTGCTGGCTCGCCTGCATGGCTCAGACACTGAATGCTGATGTTGTTAATGTCAGAGAAATCCTCTCGGCTCACATCCCCTATCCGTACGCTGAGCCCTGGATCCACATCAGGGTTGGTGTTGAGGTTTGTTGGGGTGTTCTGGATGGAACTGCGATCTGTAGCGTCACGGGTTTCAATTAGGCAGCCAAGACAGGTTCGGGCAGGCTGGAGAAGACACTCCTCTGTCAGTGCAGACATAGTGCTGGGCTCCATCATTGTATTAGGCAGTGGGAGGGTGATGGACAGTGGAGAGGATGTTTTCTGTGGTTCTCCCGTTAAGGCCCAGGAGTCTGCAGTTGGGTGGGGAAGTGATGAGGGAGCACCTTGAAGGTGGGGGCCTATAGTCTGAGCATTACTGGATGAAGGGCAATGTGCCACTGCTTGAGTCAGAGAGAGGTCACCACCAAGGGCCAGAGGGAGTGGTGGTGATGCAGGAGCGGTCCTCTGGTGGGTTGAGAAGACCTGCTGTGGTGTCTCTGCAGCAGGAGGAGGCGAAGAGGCAGGAGGGAGCGCAGCATCGACGAGTCTGCACAGACTCAGTTCACCGCTCTGCTCACATACCCCTGCAGGGAGAAAGTAAAAAAGGATATCAGCGCCTTGAACTGTTATTCTGAACAGTGTCTTTGTGTGGTAGTCAAATTCTTCTCAAAAAGTTCTTCTTCAAATGTAATTAGTGTCAATTAACCCCCTGGAGCTCTAAATGTCAGTTTTTGATGCCGTTCTTAAACATTGCTAATTAACATTTCGCACCACATTCAATAAGGGGTATTAATGTCAAGTTAGACATCTTTGCATGTTGATGTGAAAAATGAAAAGCATAAATAAAGAGGCAAGATATGAAAAAGAGTTACCTGTTACAGGAAACATTAACAAGAATGAAACTGGCAAAGAAAAGCAAGTGCTTTAAGTAGAAGTGAAATAATAAATTAAGCACCAACATATGATTACAAGAGGCAGTACAATTTATCTCTACATGATTTGAACAGGATGTTTTCATTTGTAGTAATCATCCATTGTTTGGATTTAGCAAAAAAATGTTTTATAGAACTGAATCACAGAAAGAGGTGCGTTATTGTGACTTTCTATCATTATGACAAACTGACGAAACTGTACAGTTAAGTCAAACCTTATTTCTAGCAGTGTCACACTGGAATATTAAAAGTTATGAAATTGACATTTTCTTGAGAAGTGTTGTTCAGCTGAAGTCTGCATGACTTTATCTGGTGAAATAAGAAAGAAAGCCACTCAGCAGAATTTTGAGTACATGGTGGTAAATTGAATAAACTGTGGCAGACAAGACATGCAGTGTCAAACTCAAAATTTTCACATGAATAAATAAATGTTCAAAATCAGAAAAAGATAACCTTAGTAAATGGGGGAAAAAAATCAAGTCCAGACTTTTACTACACCAATTCAAAACTTTGATTATTGGTTCTTTTGAGGTCTGCAGGGTTTTGTATGTTGTTCTGGTTTTTTTTATTGACCTTCTGGATGAAACATCAAAGCACTTACATTAATTTTGGAAAGACAGCTAGTTCAGGGAAGGATCTCCATAGCTCAGTGCTTTCTCTTTTGCAGGCTAACGTTATTTATTATATGTCCTTAAATTTCTTTAAATAAGGATATGATGTCTTGTGTTTTAAGATCTCTCTGCTTTATGCTGACATAGTTTTTTTATATTATTTCTACAATTCTGAAGGTAATCAGACCTGTGTGTGTGTGTCATTTAAAAATGTAACTAAATAAAAAAAATAATAAATGTATATCTTTGTATGTATGCAATTCTTTATATGAAGACATGTACTTTGCCACATAACCTCAAGTAGTTGCTCTTTGTGTATCTATCCTTACAATTGTTTAATTACCTGATGCATTTAACTGAAACTAAAAAGAAAAACAAAAGAAACCTGTCAGGGGCGCAAATATTTTTTCGCACCACTGTATTCATTTTGTAGTGTATGCATTAATGAATATAAAAAAAAGAGATTCATACACCACAGACTTATAATGCTTCAGAAGTTGATATCTGCACAGCATCCAATCTCATATTGATCTGAACTGAATTGAATGAAAGTGTTGTTCCAAGTTGAAAAGAGTTTATCACCACAACACTTCTTCTGAATACTTACTTTCTTTATGTGAAACACATATTCAGAGAACATTTTAATAGTTTTTGGGATTGGAACTGCAGCATACCGACTTGCAAAACCATGACTGAACAATTCTACACTTAGCATAGATTCTTTAAAGCAGTTTGAGTTTCCAAAATAGTGATACCATCATAAGTGATCTACTATAATTCAGCTACATCAGTAGTTTTAGTTGTCACAAACATTTTATATTTCTTAAACTATTCAACAGAAGTAAAAACTCATCTCTCCAAACTACTGCTAGTGCATAGGCATTGACTGGTAGATTAGCATTTAGCATTTCAAAAGGAAAAAAATATATATGTTAACGATGTGCTAGCAAAAGACAATATTAACGGACTTTTTTAAGATGTTAAATGTGAAATTTGAAATGTTTGACTAAAACATTTTGTAGTCAACTATTTGAGAAAACTTTTAGATTTTTTACTTAATTGCAGACTTACGTAAACTGTACTTTTTCCCTTTTTGAGGAAATATATTTTGTAGATAATGTTAATGAACAAATTACACAAACTCATAAACAAAACACATTTCATAAATATAAGTTAAATTCACTTTACATGGAAATATTGACTCAAATATAAATAAAAGAAATAATGGAAATACATTTTTTTATTTGGAGTTGCATTCATGACTGACCTGAGGCATTTTCCTTTTCACTTCATTTCTGTTGCAGCTTATTTAATATTCAATACATGCTGCATAGTTAGGCTTTTTATTTTAAAATACAGAAATAAATAAAAACGCTCCATATTATTTGATTTATTTGTTTCTGCTGGGGATGGAAATTAAAATTTTGTGTTTTATTCTGTACATCTTTGTTCACATTATTATGTGGTCATCAGTTGGACAATAAAAAGTCAAAGTATATTGTATAAAAAATTATTGACTAAAATAATTGCTTTTGATTTTTGGAGGAAAATTGGCATTTTTGATTAGTTGTTTAATTAAATGATAGTCAATGAATTAGCTGAAATGTTTTTATTTCAGTGTAAAAATAAGTAAAATGGATTTTATATTTCAAAAATATTGTCAGCTTAATGTTTTGTTGTGCTGCTATTACTTTTTATTTCACAATCAAGGTATCAGTCATTTTGCCAATTAAATTTGTGTCATGAAGCAGATACATTTAAACTCTGTCAACTCTGCAGTCAGTTCTTTCTGCCTGTCAATACTTTGATTATTTATTTAAATATAAATTTATTGTGTGTTTATTTGGAAAGACACTGAATATTGACCTATAAACTATCAATGCATAGCAGTAGAAATCCACGCAATGAACTAATACTGTGCCATAGTTCAAGTTTTAAAGCGGAGCAACAGAAAATGAGTGGTAGTTTTTAAAAATCAACAAAATATCAACAACACCACCCCATGTTGTCTCTTTACCAAGAGGCACAAACTGAAAACACTGAAACCAAATTTATTCAAGTTCAGTTCAACAACAAATTATGCAGTTTCATGTTATGTTCCAGATTCACTACATGCAAGTATCCAGCTCCAATTCAGGCACAAAGTCAACTTAGCTTTTTTGCAGCAGTGTAGTGAATAATAATAATAATAATAATTTAAAAAAGCACAGGTTGGCAGCCAGAAATAACACAAATACAAGTTAGAACTACATTTTAAAAAACTGGTTTTAGGAATTTGCAACAAGCATTCAATGACAAAAACAAATCATTTTGAGACGTCCATCGGCATGTAACAATCAAAACTCAGTGAAGCAGGCTTGCAGCAGAAGGCAGATAGCTTTGTTTGCTCTGCATAATTAGATGACAGCAGCAGAGGCAGGTATGTACACATGGGACACGACAGGCCCATATGTTGGAGACTGTATAACCAATATCATCTCCACCTGCCTCCCTCACCGCCATCCCAAGCTGCTGTCTCGCACATATTCTTTAAAACAGTGCCAGGAAGAAATTCCGAAATTGAAAAACACAGCACAGCAATTAATGTGCTCACAGAGGTTAACTAGCAACAACCCCCATTTTAGAATTGGATGCGCCTAATCACTATTGAGGTAGTGATAAATGCTCGAGGCAAAGGCTGCTTGGTGAGCAGCATTCAGCACGGCTGTATTGGTGATGAGTAAATCTTTGAATATGGATAGGATATGAGAGTGATTTAATGAGGTAATGAAATTTCAGAGAGCTGGTCTCTGCGGGTCTGCGGCCTGCAGACACACTGGTGCAACATGAAACTCCTGCTATGAGCTTATGACTGCTCTACTGTCATCTTTAATGAAGGAAAACCTCCAGAGGAATATGCATCATCTCTTTTCCTCACAGAGTAAGAAAACTGTTACAGCAGCAGCTTCTCAGAGGTGGCAGAAGCATCACAGCGAGGCGTTTGTCATCAGCTCCTTTCAATCTGTGAGCCAGAATGACCTCAGAGCAAAATGCTTGGGACTGACACATGTTCTCTTTGGAGAGTCAGGAGCGGCATCATTTCCTACATTTAATACTAGAGCAGCACATAAAACACTACTGTGTTGTTTCTCTAAATGCTGGATTAATGCTGTTGGGATGGATGAATGATTGGGTAGTTTTTAACCTAAGACTCTGGCTACCATTTTGACATATAATGTGACTTACAAAGCTCTACTTCCATGGGACAAAGGAAGAAATCAAATGGTAAAATGATGCCCATAATGATGATGTCAGAGTACTAAAGACAGACCGCAGGTACAGCTATGAACCAGCTGGTGCTACATGTATTCAACATTCATACTTTGACCAAACAATCGGTAATAAAGTCAACAGAGACAGACCAAGAACCTTCATATCAGCCTGTTTTATATGTCTTCTCTCTTTTAAAAAAATCAGTTTATTGTTTTTTACATTTCAAAAGAGACACACAGACAAGTAACTCACAAATGCACAAAACACCAAACAAAACCAAAAGAAAACACATGACCAACTTAAACATTCAAGGTGGCAAACATTGAGTTGATTGCAGTTAGAGTACTTTAAGTTTACATGTCTTCTCTTTTTTTTCTTTTCTTTTTGCTTTAGTTAAATGTTTAAATCATCAAATAACTTTTATATCAAGGCAGCATAGCATAAATAAATACAAATTGAAGTGATAAAATTTCTTATTCTACTAAGAGAAGAAGCTATCCAAACCCAGCTGCCCCTTTAACATAGATGCTGGTTGGCGGCATCAACAGACATCAGGTGTTTGTGACACAGTGGAGGTCCTTTCCTTCACTGACGTTTTTGCAGTACATGGTTTTCAACATGCTTAAGATCACGTCACATCATTTAAATAAGATTTAAGTCTGGGCTTTGTCTAGGCCCTTCAAACAATAGTTTGTTTTTGTTTTTCAACCTGCTAGTGAGCTATGTATTATTGCCTGTAACCAGTTCCAGTTTGGTATGTGTTAATAACTTTGTTTTTCATCATTTTTT